TTTGCCACTTTTTAATGGAACTTTTTAGTTCGAAGAGATTAGTACCATATTTCGCAAGTTTAAGTTACGTAGAAAATGAGGAACGAATGTTCCAATCTTTGGGGAAGATAATCCGAGGAATATTCGCGATCTTTTATCCTCGATGAATTTCACGCTTCAGGGAAATTCGCGAATTGCGATTAATAGCTCGAGAAACGAGGGCACATCTACTAATTCATTTCGTTGTTATAACACCGTTCGATGTAGATTAAACAAAATCTCCCATCTCTTAATGACTTCTACATAAAATTAAAACTCGTATTTGCACAGTATTTTTTACTCGTTTTATCGGTCTTACAAAGTAGTACAACTTGAATAATCTCGAGGTTGATACCTCGTTTCCGATGGAGGAGCGATAAAAAATTGCGGGAGATTAGAAGATATCGTAAGAAACGTATGTTTGCAAAGTATGATGACTGCAGCGGCAATATATTAGGCGTGTTTGCAGAGTAAATACTGGAGGAAAGGAAGCGTTTAAGGAAGATATTTACGAGCTTGCTAAGAAAGATGGAAGGTGTCGTAAATTAGGTTCAAGCCTAGAAACATGAGAGCTGCACTCTATTCTAACCACACATTTTTCTAAAAAATTATACCTGAACTTTGCCATTTTCGGATGTTATTTGATACAACGCATTTTGTGTTAAAAATAAAAAAGAAATTGCATGATCATTTTTATTATTGAAGTCGGACATTATTTAATGTAACTACTCCTCCATTTTGTATTAAAAATACCAACGAAAGAAATGGTTAGAAAATAGAAAATCAGAAACTGTTTTCTCTCGGCAGTGTCCGAAAAATTGTTAGCCCACTCCAAGATTTTGTGAAACGTAAAAATTCTTTGAAGAGCCACTCTCGAGTCATCAAGTACGCAGCAAAATAAAAATACGTATCAAGTTCCAAGTATCAGGTTTTAGGTATCAAGTATCAGGTTTCAAATATCAAGTTTCAAGTTCCAAGTATCGAGTTACAAGTCTGGTCGTTGAAAGTACGTATCAAGTTCCAAGTATCAGGTTTCAGGTATCAAGTGTACCAAATCACAAATGTGTCATGAATGCGTCACGAGTGCGACAGAAGTACTTCACACGTGTTAAGTCTAAAATATTATATCAATTATAAAAGTGCATCTCACAAGCCAAAGGGTGAAACGCTCTCCTCTGACAGGGTTTTAAAATTTCTCGAGACTACCAATAACGAAAAATATCCCTCAAGGAAATTAATTCCTTTCGTCTGATCTCCTTCACCGTTTAATTCCGCGATTAAAACGGAAAATATTGACCAAGCGAACAGTTACACAGATCTCGTTTCACGCAACCAGACACAAACACAACGACGGTTTTCTTTTCGTTCGATATCCAGCGGAAAACATCCGAGTGTTTTTCCCTAAATCCGGCTGCCTGCTCCCTTTCTGAACCCGCGAAACGCAGTCTATTATAGCTGATAACAAAACGTCACGGGGGTAGGAAAATCGTTATGCAGCAACGGCATGTAGTAAACCCTGGCGAATTCGAGCCAGCTGGAAAGCTCCGACTCGTAAGCGGAGCTTAAATCTGGCTTTGTCATGGTGAAAACGCACACGCGAAATCGAGGCTCGGGCCGAGGCGATGCTTGCACCACCTGGCTGAGGGGATGATAGAGGGATCAGAACAGAGGGTGACCGAGGCCGAGAGGGTGGTTGTTGCACTGACAACGATAGATAGCGACGCGTATGGAGAAACGATAAAAGAACCCTGATGAGAACGAATAGGGGGTTGCTTTAAGAAAAGAGTAAAATACCTTCGCTCGTTAAAAATCTTACAAAATCAATCAATGTCTAATGGTTAACCCTGTGAAACTTTCCATTTTTGGAAAAATACTTTTCGCATAACAGGTGATATCCTTCTATGCTTTCATTAAAAAATGAAAAATTATGCAACACAAGTTTGATGACCATCGTCTGATTTTTATGAGTTGCTAAACTTATCATCCCCCGCATAATTATTTTGTACACCAATATTTCGCTAAACAGAAGTAAATTAAATTGAAGACTCACCGATATTTAAGCGAGAAAATAAGAACGTAAAACTGCGAGTAGACAAAAGCGAGGAAATAAAGAAAAGAAGGAAGATGGATATCGAAAAAACGAGTTCAAAGGTGGTGGTGATGAGACAGAATGGGGAGAACGGAGGAAAATGGAGGCGCTATTTAACGCCGGAATATGGATTAGACAGAAAATGGGAGGACAAAGAATATACAAAGGAAACAGGAAAAAAATTGTACGGAAGGGATGAAGCTAAAGGGTAGAATACGCGTTCCTGGTTCAAGATCCAGCTGACATCAGCCAGACATATCGACGTATTTATTCCTGTAAATTTATGGTGAATCCAGGACGGAAGATTGCGAAATACCCGCGGAACTAGAATAAATATACATGTATTTCCATGATTTATGGCCGTAATATCGTGACAGCTTGCGTTCAATTTCATTTCGACAATTATTTATCTGCTGACAATAAGGATCTGACGTTTCGTTTATGCTTTCCGGTGAGGCAATATTCTTGCATGAATTTTCTGCTCGATCTGCAATCATGATTTTAGTAAATGGACATAAAATTTCTACTTTCTTCTTAATATCGTAGCCATCACTAGTTCAGACGCACCTAACAAATCACGGTGCAAGTTTTCGAAGCACGCAAAACGACCCAAACGAACAAAACGGCAGAAAGTTAAAGGGCAGCGAAAAATACGAGACACTGTTATCGAACTTAATTAACGTTCAAGAGTAACCAGCCTCCGGTGCATTGATCTTGAACGCGAACAGTTTAGAGGCCCGTTATATTCCCGTGCATTCCGCGCCTGCATCGAAATTAATCTGATTTACAGCAACGCGGCCAAGTTCGGATGCGATACGAGCTGTACTTTTCTCTTGGAAACTGAATTACCCTCCGAATTAATTACCGCCGAGATAAAGTTTATATATCTCAATTTTAAATCATAAGATTAATATTTATGGGACTGTGTATCAAAAAGTCGGGCACGGTTGGGTGCTGGAATTCAAATCGAAAAGTTTAATTACCGTTTCTGACAATGCGTCGGACTGTCGTCCAAACGCTGCGTTTCAGTTTCAATTAGTGGGCTGTATGGAGATTCTGGGGGAATTTTAGGGTGGTGTGGGAGGTAATGGGAAATTTTGGGGGGATTTAGGAGATGGGGTGATTGCAGAGAGATTGAGGAGGTTTAGGACAGTTTGGGGGTTTTGGAGAGTTCCGGTGGAATCTAGGGTGATTATAGAAATCTAGGAGAGCTTTAGGGACATCTAGGGGATTCTAGGGATATTTTAGAGGGATCTGAGAAGTATAGGGAAATTTTGGAGAGATTTAGGAGATGGGGTGATTGCAGAGAGATCGAGGAGGTTGAGGACAGTTTGGGGGTTTTGGAGAGTTTTGGTGGAATCTAGGGTGATTATAGAGATCTAGGGGAGCTTTAGGGATATCTAGGGGATTCTAGGGATATTTTAGAGGGATCTGAGAGGTATAGGGAAATTTTGGAGAGATTTAGGAGATGGGGTGGTTGCAGAGAGATAGAGGAGGTTCAGGACAGTTTGGTGGTTTTGGAGAGTTTTGGTGGAATCTAGGGAGACTATAGAGATCTAGGAGAGATTTAGGGACATCTAAAGGATTCTAGGGGAATTTTAGAGAGATCTGGCAAGCATAGGAAAACTTTAGAGAGATTTGGGGGAGTTGTGGAATGGTTATACAGACTTCAAGGAAACTAGGAAAAATTTGGGGTGTGTTTAGGGAATTTTGGTAGAATCTAGAGACTACAGTAATTTAGGGAAGCTTTGTAACAATCTTGGAGAGTCCAGGGAGATTCTAGGGACTTCTGATAGATAGTCTTTAAAGATAGATAATCTTTAGAGAATTTTGATAGAATCTAGGGAGATCTAGGGATCTAGGGTGACATTAGGGACATCTTGAAAAATCTAGGGAGTTTCTAGTGACTTCTGATCGACTTGGAGTGTATAGGAAAACTTCTGAGAGATTTAAGAGAGCTTGGCTAACAAAGATTCCATCCAGAAAATAACTAGTTTTTGTAAAATCTAGGGAATCTATAGATCTAGGGTCCCTAGAACCTAGATATCTAGGAGAGCCTAGGGAAATATTGAAGTCACTTCTGTAATTTAAGATGACTCTATCCACACTTAAAAGACTCTAGTAAGATTTTAAAGTTACTTAAAATCTAAGAAGATTTTAAAGTAACCTGTGGAGTCTAATATGACTCCAAGACATAGATCACCCTAGAAATATTTGAAAAATCCCCCAAAAATTCTAGAGGAATCCAGAACAGTCTACTGGACCCTTAGAAGTATCTAAGACTATAGAAATAAATCCGTAAGACTTTAGAAAAGTGTAAAAGATTCGGGGTAGCCTCCAGAGAGACATAACAGTTTAGAAAATCTAGAGAGCCTAGGGACCCATGCAACATTCCCCACGTCGAAACGTTAAAAAGAGTTAAACCGACGATAAAAACACGTTAAAAGATTTCAATAGCAAAGAATTCCATCGAATAAGTAACTAGAGAGAATTGAAATAAACGCTGTTTACGTATTCCGTGAAAAGGGAGGAACACGAGGGAAATCGATGAGAAAAAGAGCAAATCGAACGCAGCCGATGTAAAGGTCGAAAAAGAAGAGAGAGAGAATGAATGAAATAGAAGCTTGACACCCCTCCGGTGAACAATTCTGACGAGTTGGCAATTCGATCCTGAAACAGGACCCAAGAGACGGCATAAAGCTCACTCCAAGCTCGTTTGTTCTTTCTTTCTTTCTTCCTTTCTTCATTTTCACCTATTCCCCTTCACGACACTTCAGCATCGTTCGCCTGTCGCTATTTGTCCCGTGAACTTGCTCGGCTTTTTGTCAGGGCATCGCTTATGCCCCATCTCGAACCACCCACCTCTCTTAAAGATTCAATTTAATTCACTCACCATGAAGAGCTTTCAAATACGCTTTCCCAGCATTGATCAACTGCCTCGCCCCTGGATTGAATTTGTCCAGAATGTTCTGAAATCATAAATATGAAACGTTCTTATGAGGTGCGGTTAATGATCCGATTGAAAATTTTCTGCATTGTACGAGGAAGGTGCGAGGGTGAGTTTAATTTTAGGGTTTCAAGTTTCGGACTGTTTTGTTAATTTATTGGGAAATTTTTGTTTAGTTAAATATGGAGAATATTTACAGTATCTTGTAGGGTTTTTAAATTACTAGCTTTTCAATGTCCCAATTATTCTCAAATTTCCCAATTTTCCATCATTTCCCAAATTTCCCAAATTTCAAAAATTTCCTTAATTTCTCAGGTTTCCCAAATTTCCCCAATTTCAAAAATTTCCTTAATTTCCCACTTTCCCTTATTTCCCTAATTTCCCAATTTTCCCAATTTTCCTAATTTCCCAAGTTTCCCATATTTCCCTAATTTCCCCAATTTTCCTAATTTCCCTAATTTTCAAATCCCAAAATTCTGAAATCTCAAAATTCCTAAATATCCCAATTTTCCCAAATTTCCGAAATTCCCCAAATTACCTAAATTTCCCAAATTACCTAAATTCCCCAAATTTTCCAAATTTCCCAAATTTCCCGAATTTCTTAAATTTCCTTAATTTCCAAATCTCCTAAGCCCCAAATCCCCAAAATCCTGAGATGTCAAATTTCCCAAATGTCCCAGTTTGCCCAAATTTCCTTAATTCCCTAATTTCCCTAATTTCCAAATCCCAAAATTCTGAAATCTCAAAATTCCTAAATATCCCAATTTTCCCATATTTCCCAAATTACCTAAATTTCCCAAATTTTCCGAATTTCTTAAATTTCTTTAATTTCCAAATCTCCAAATTCCCAAATCCCCAAAATCCCCCAAATCCTGAAATCTCGAATTACCCAAATTTCCCAAATTTCTTATATTCCCAAGATTCCCGAATTCCCAAATTCCCAAAATCCCCAAAATCCTGAAATCTCAAATTTCCTAAATTTCCAAGATTCCCAAATCCCCAAGATCCTGAAATCTCAAATTTCCTGAATTTCCTGAATTTCCCAAATTTCCCAAATTTCCTAAATTTCCTAAATTTCCAAATCTCCAAATCTCTAAATCCCAAATTCCCTAAATCCAATTGCAAAATTCCCCAAACCCAAGTCCTCAACTCCTCAAAATTCCCCCAAAGGGAAAAAAATATTCAAACACAGCATTGCTTTCTCCAGCAAAACATCCCTAATATACACGACAGCCAGTGAAGGATTGCAATTAAAGCAGGTAATTTATCACGAGAGATCGATCAAAAAGCGACGTGCAATTTTATTATCGACACCGTGCATCGTTGTCGAACACGAGTAAGTCATCCCTTTTAATTTGGCCGTTGATCTTTAATTCGCGTTCCATGTTTATCGACTTTCAACGAGGGGAGTTACACAAATTACATAAATCTTTCGATTTACGATAATCACGTCATCGATTTTCCTGTCAGAAATACGTAGTCGACTACGCAACTGCAATTGCGTCCATCCCAACGTGCATAATATATTCGCACATCTTCATCGGACCTTGATCGATTGCCAGCCATATTGGCAAGTGTTAACTAGCATGAGCTAATCGGGTTACGTCATTACGACGGATTAGTTTCCTGTGCATGAGCAAAAGTCATCATTCAGTGGCGGAATGCGGTTGGCTTTGTAGTAGGTTGCACACTTTGAACAAGGAATTTGCAGAGTCTGAAGCAACTTGTCTATGAAACATTCTTAGCATAACCTTCCCTCTTATTTGTCATTCTATCATTCCTTTGTTACAGAAGAATTCTATGCTGAGGTGGATCGGCGGAAAATGTTACAAGGGTAACTCGCTGATAATTTAAGGCGTGTCAGATTTTTATGAATTTAGATGTTCAGGTATTGGGTTACATTTGCAATTAGTATGGGGTTTTATAAGAATTTTACTTTGTGTCTTTGATGTATTTTAATCTACTTAAATAATTAAATATTATGAGCTTGTAAATGTTTGTGTTGGACAAGTTTTGAATGTGTAAATTATTGATGTAGTAGTTTTTGAATTGAAGTTGCTAGGTTTCGTAAGATTTTCAATCTTCAATTCCTTGCTTTAGTAGGTTCAAACTTGCAACTATTCAAAAGCCTAAATTTCCAGCAATTTGAGGCATCAAATTTCATATATTCTCACATTACCAACAAATTTCCAGATTTTGACATCTTCAGTTCTCCAAATACTCAAACTTCCATCTCTACATGCCTAGCTGCTTAAATCTCCAAATCCCGACATGTTCATCTGCATATTCCTAACCTCTCAAATTTTCAAATCTCCACATCCTTAACTTCTCAAATCTCCAAATCCCCAAATTCCCATCTTTGCATCCCAACTCTTCAAATTTCCAAATCCCCAAATTTCCATCTTCTCAAACCTAACTTCTCAAATCTCCAAATTCCCATCTCCGCATCCCTAACTCCTCAAATGACCAAATCTACATATGTCCATCTCCCCATCTCAACTTCTCAAATCTTCAAATTTCCAAATCAAATTCCCATCTCCACATCCCTAACTCCTCAAATGTCCATCTCCACATCCCAAATCCTCAAATCTCCAAATTTCCAGATTCCCATCTCCTCATCCCAACTCCCCAAATGTCCAAATGTTCAAATCTCCAAATGCCCATCTCCACATTCCAACTTCTCAAATCTCCAAATCCCCAAATGACCATCACCACGTCCCTAACTTCTCAAATCTCCAAATCCTCAAATCCCCATCTCCACATCCCAACTCTTCAAATTTCCAAATCCCCAAATTTCCATCTTCTCAAACCTAACTTCTCAAATCTCCAAATTCTTAAATTCCCATCTCCGCATCCCTAACTCCCCAAATGTCCAAATCTACAAATATCCATTTCCCCATCCCAACTTCTCAAATGTCCAAATCCCCAAATGTCCATCACCACGTCCCTAACTCCTCAAATATCCAAATCTCCAAATGTCCATCTCCACATCCCCAACTTCTCAAATCTTCAACTCTCCAAATTCCCATCTCCACATCCCTAACTCCTCAAATGTCCATCTCCACATCCCAAATTCTCAAATCTCCAACTCCTCAAATCCCCATCTCCACATCCCAACTCCTCAAATATCCAAATCTCCAAATGTCCATCTCCACATCCCCAACTTCTCAAATCTTCAACTCTCCAAATTCCCATCTCCACATCCCTAACTCCTCAAATGTCCATCTCCACATCCCAAATTCTCAAATCTCCAACTCCTCAAATCCCCATCTCCACATCCCAACTCCTCAAATATCCAAATCTCCAAATGTCCATCTCCACATCCCCAACTTCTCAAATCTCCAACTCTCCAAATTCCCATCTCCACATCCCTAACTCCTCAAATGTCCATCTCCACATCCCAAATTCTCAAATCTCCAACTCCTCAAATTCCCATCTCCATATCCCTAACTCCCGAAATGTCCAAATCTCCAAATGTCCATCTTCACATCCCAAATCCTCGAATCTCCAAATCCCCAAATCCCCATCTTTGCATCTCTAACTCCTCAAATGTCCAAATCCCCAAATTTCCATCCCCTCAAATCTTCAAATCCCCAAATGTCCATCACCACATCCCTAACTCAAATCCCCAACTTCCCAAATCCCCAATTTCCCATTCATCCCACCTAAACCATCGATATTCAAACAAACGTCTCTATAATTGAACATATTTTCCGTAGACCATATCGCTCATCCGCAAACCATCTAATCGGTGCCGGAAAGTAAACCGAAACAATGTCACCGGAAATTTGACGGGTTGCTCGATGGCGGCCAGATGGCCGAATAAACAGGGCTCGTCTAAAGGATGCAGGAGGAGGACGAATAACGAGAGATAAAGGTCGTGGTTGCACGTTATCGAGAGAACGCCTCCGGCATTCCAGCTTTGAGGACGATCCTTGCTCGTCTTCCTGAATCTCTCTATTTGCTTCTCTCCTGTCTCTCTCTTTCTCTCTCTCCTTCGCTCTTCTTGAATCTCCTTTCACCTGTTCAAGATGGCGATTTCTTGGAGGCTGCGCGGTATCGGAGACAAAACAGCTAACTATCCGAGATAAGAACGGTCCAATGGTTACTATTAAGATTTAGTTGCGGAGAGCATGTTTTAACGCTTATTGTTAGATAAATTGTTAGCAACATTTTGCAAAATTGATATTTATTCATATGTTCCTTTTCAAATCTAAATATTGCTATTATGTTTCATACACTTTTCTAGCTTTTGATGTAATGATCTTCTGAATTAAAATTTGAAGTAATTTTTGTCAAAAATATTTTCTCCTGTTAATTTCAAAAATATTTGCAATCCAGGAATCCAATATAATTGTTAATATTTCCCCGTCAAATTTATAGCAGACCACATGTGTACTTGCTTAATTTTTAAAGGTTTTCACAATCAACTCATCTCACATACGTTCGCCATTTATTACCCAAGCAGTCATTGGCTAAGAAGCACATTAGCAGCAAAAACCTGATGGAAATTCAGGAGTTGGTTAATAAGAGAAGCAGCAATGTGGAACAGTTTATCGGGCCGCGGTTGATCCATCATCCGTTGTCGCGTGGTTATCCCGGCACATGGAAACGGAACAAATTGAACCGCGAAGAATGTTAATAACGGTGGCCTGTGTGTCATGTCCCGTGTAATGAACCGTGCAACGGAAAAGTGGAGCGATTGGAAACGGGGGACAAAATGACGGCTACGGGAAGATGGCGTTCGCGAGCCATTTCGCTTTAAATATTACATTTTTACCATTTTAAGAATTTACAAAATTTCAAACTTTCGCTTCATAAATTTCTTTAGCATAAAATTGTTGAATAGCATACAAATTTTGCAACCCCTTGTCTCAAATTAATTTTTGATTTAATATTAAATTTATTAAATTTGGTGAATTTGGTAAAATTGGTAAACTTGTTAAACTTGTTAAACTTGTTAAACTTGTTAAACTTGTTAAACTTGTTAAACTTGTTAGACTTTTTAAACTTGTTCAATTT